TAAATCACTCATGTCGATAAATGCTACTCATGTTGAAGACCAATCCAATAAAATAGCCAGTCTTACTTCATTTGAATAGATCATTACTTCGCAACAGCAGCAGCTTGATCATATTATTAAAACTGAAGAATTACTGCATATGTCTAATAAAATTTCTGAACAAGAAACAGATATTAAATCGCTTAAATCCCAGATAAGAGAAGCTTCGTAAGTATTTGCGAATTTGTCTGACACATACCTATATATATATATATATATATATTTGACTTTATATTTGTTTAAAACTTCGATGAATGGGAATAGTGAGGAAAAACAAAAGGTGAGTCAGATAATCTTGAATACCAAATCTAATTTGATTCAAGTTTTTTTCTAGAAAAAGTTATTCTGTTTTCTTTATTGTTATTCAGAACAATATTTATTTATCTATATTTTGGAATATATTAGAAATTATAAGGGCAATATGACAATTCTACGACCCAAAACTATTCTCTCTAAACTCACTTCCTCATATCATTTTTGATAGATGTAACTATTTACTGTTTTACTCTATTGTAAAGAATTTAGTTAATAACTTTATGAATGTCTTTATTGTACAGTAACTTACAATGATGTTACAGCTATATGACCCTTAACATATTACAACTACATACTATTTCCTACTACAATATTAATAGCTAAGTTGTTTCAAATCACAGTCTATAACCTATTTGACAAGCTATTATTTATTACATTGTTGTACTTAATAAAGTGAAGCAAAGCCCTACTTAGTATTAAAAAGCTACCATCGTAAAGCCATACAAATTTAATGTCATAGTTTATATGACATGAGACTTTTAAATGAACTTGACCGGCTGACTTTTTTTAAAAAAAATTTCACAAAATTTTTTTTTACTATGAGACTTTTAATGAATGTAGCCGGTTGACATTTTATAATAAAAATTTCACAAGATTGTTTTTTAAAAGTCTACCTGGCTATTAATCATTGGAAGACATTAATTTGAAATGCAAATTTTCTGAAGCGCATAATTTCATAATTTTACAAAACACCCATAGAATTATTCGAAAAATACCGGTAAATTACTCAAAAATTAAAGGACATTTTCAGATAACTTAATAGGTATTTTCGAATAATTCCATGGGATTTTTGTATTTCTGGGAAATTTTCTGGATGGGACTCTTATGATGTAATTAATCTAAAATTTATACTCTAATTTTAAATTAGGCCCAATCCTGCTCAATCTGGGCCCAATCTGAATTTTTGAAGCTAAATTCAATCTGATAGTTGGGATTAGATTACAATCTGAATCTGATCCGATTTACATTTTTGGAACACTACTGGAGGATATATGAATTGTAGAATTGGCATAAAATATGGTGAAGTAGATTCAAAACTAGTATCACAATTTTTTATTCCTCTTGGCTTCGGTGATGCTTGAAATATTGGATGATTAGATGGTAAATCTGTATCATTAAATCCATTAATCTAAATAATTATTTAATTTTAAAAATTTAGAATATTTAAAATAATTTATAAATAATTTTTAATAAAACTTATCACACTACGAGCCCAAATTGTATAATAATTTAATATAACCTTTATTTGTAGGTCAACAAGGCACATCACATTGATTACAAAATCTTTTTTCCTGTAAAATTGTAATAATTGCTACCATATCATGTTTAGATTAATCAAGATTAGCTTCACTTGGAGTATGATTATATTTTAATCATTTTTTGTTGAATTCATAATCTTCATTATCATCATTAAGACTCTGTAAATAAAATTAAAATTATAAAATTAATTATTAAAAAAATTATTTATTTATATTAATTTAAAAATACCCTAGTTGTTTTGTCTTTATGCTTTTTAGAAATAATTGTTACTAAATTAAAAACTTTTTTTTTGCTTAGAAATTGCTTGAAAATACTTTTTGGTAAATATATTAAAATCATTTTCATTAATAATTTGAGTTCCAATGCCTGTTTCTTGTATAACTTTATATGCTAAAATATAATCTTTTTGCTTTAATCTGAAGTTATTTGTTAAATCTTGAACTTGTAATAGTATTTTATCATGAAATTCTATACATGATTGAGCTGTAAATGATAATCATTTAGCTGGAAGTATAGTTCTATATTGATCTTTAATATATAGCTTTACTATAAATTCTGATATATACTCATGATCTTTATCTTTACTAATATGAAAATTATTTTCAAATAAATCATATAGAATTGGCTTTTCATTATAATTATCATAACTATTATTTTCATAACTAGTTGATACACTATTATCAATAGATGTATCACTACTAAGAGGCGATGTTTCTTGAAATTTGCTTGTTTCATATTTGTGAATTGGCACTTCATAATTAGGATTAATAATATCATAACTACTAGTATTATAACTAGTAGATACATTAAGAGATTTGTGACTTGGCTCTTCATGATTAGAGTCAGTAATATTGTAACTACTATTATTATAACTAGTAGATACATTATAACTAATAGATATATCAAGAGATATTTTTTTTGATATTTGTTTGTTTTGCGTTTGTTTGTTATCTTAGAATTTTTAGCATGATACTATTTTGAATTACATGAGCTACAAAGAAAAAATTAAAAATTAGAAAAAAAATCTATTTTATAATTGCATATTTCATTTTGTGCTTCTAAAAGATCAAGTTGCTTTGTTGAAAAATCTTCCTAATATTTAATTTTAAAAGCCTAAAGAACTTCTTTTGTTCGATTTTTTTTATTAGGAGCTTGGGTTTTTATACATTCACAAGTCTTTGAAAGTGTACCTTTATTGCAATAAAGACACTGAGTATATAAATAGCAAGTGCCAATAAGATAAGTTTTGGTGAATTCCATATAGAGAATTCTGTAAATAAATAACAATTTTAGCAAAATAATCGTATGATCATGTAATAAAATCGCAATTGCAATTACAATTACAATCACAATCATTTTACAAATATTAGTAATCAGGAAAGGTTACATAATTTTGCAAAGCACAATAATGTATTTAAGCTCTGTATCTATGCAACTAATTTTGGTGATAATATAGGTAGATCATAACCACAGATACATTGTGTTGAGTTACAAAAGTTACAATCTTACAAACATAATTTTAACTAAATTTCAGTCAATTAAATTTTATTAACTGTTAACTTTCAAGTTATATATAAATATCAGCTTTATAAAGTTTGGCCAGCATTATTGCATCACTTGTTATTACATCACTTAATTTGTAACTTCCTAATTGCCAAAAACTTTGGCTTCAGAAACTACATAGTGTCAAATTATATTTGAGTTGATTTGATTCGTAAAGTTCACCTATTGTTCTTTAGTTATTTGTTTGTATTCAAATATTTTGCATTTGTTTTTAGATTTTTGGTTGTTTCTAGATAGAGCAAAAGAAATTATCTAGTTGAATATTAAAATATGATGGTCATTATAGGTTGAGAACAGTGAGTTGTCAAGTTTGAAGATATGTAGATAAGGTATAAGAATATTATTTGCCCAAATATAGTTAATTCTATTTTAGTATTTAGTATTAGACTAGATGTTTTGTAAGTTATTAGTATAGTCTGCCAGATTATAAGATTAATATTATGTAGATAGTATTTACTATACAAACATATTATAATAAAGCTTGTTACTAGTGTTTTAAAGTAATGACTACTTTTAATACTTTCTCTAAGTTAAATAGTAATATAGCTATTAGATTTTATTATTAGAAATAGATTAAGTATATTGAGTATATCTTTGTATATATTAATTTTAAAACTTTTAGATTGTTTATTAAAATCTACATTATTTAGTTGTGAATCTGTTAGAGTAGATATCTTATTAAGAACTTAAGTTATAGATTCTTAATAAAATTTAAAAATATAAGTTTATAGTACAGTCAACCCCTCTATAGTCACCTTTCATAGTCACAAAATTAATATAATTACAAATTTATTTTTACCAATTATTTATTATATAGAAATTATCTCTATATTAGCACACCTTTTTATAATCACAGTTTTTTGTATCCCGAAGGTGTGACTATAGAGGGTTAAACTATATATTAACAAGATTGTTATAGAAATATATATACTTGTAGATAATATTACTATAACTGCTACAGCTTGGGTAATCTTGTATAAGATTATACAAATTATATATTATATAATTATATTTATCAAATTACATATTCCACCAATTATATTATTAAGCAATATTTAGATACTATTGTTTAGTTTATTGTAGAATGAGCAGTAGATATAAATAGTTGCTTTATGTAAATTGGATTTAAAATAGTTACAAAAAAAATAAATTTTGTTGTCAAAAATGTGATCAGATATAAACAAATTAAATTTACAGGTCTAATAATTGTACAAAAATGTTTTGGATAGGGTTAACTAGGAAAGAATTTTTTAGATATCAGAAAACAAAAAGAAAGCTTTGATATTTTTAAGAACAAACTCTGGAAAAGACAATTTTATTTATGTATTCTTGTAAGTCGAATATCTCAAAACTAGAAGAGATAAAAACTTGAAATTTTGTAGATATATGTAAAATTGTATGCTAAACAAGTTTACTTAAGAACCAGAAGGCTGTTTGTTTAGTAAATTTTCTGTAAATTGAGTAAATGTAAAAATTTTTAGATAAAATTTTGTGTACGAATGATAAACATTTTATCATATTATCTTATATACCTTTTAAATAACATAATTTCTATAATTTTCCCTCGTTTATTTTGCTTAACATCAAAACAATACACTATATGCTATATTTCTTATACTTAACCTTATGCCTAAAAATAAATTTTCCGTTCACATGATTTTTTGAAATCAATTGGCCAATTAAAAATTAAGATCTAGCCTAACATAAAAATTCAAAACAAACGTTCGCTTTGCAAAAATCACATTAAGCATAAACCTTTTATTAGCAAACCGCTTTTGCGGTTCTAATAAAAAATTCCTCATACGATTTTACTATTAGGTGGCCCTTTTCAACCCTAAAATGCGCATGAGCCCTAACACAAATAAGCTTTTTTGTTCGAAGACTATAGACCTCAAAATTATACATTGGTGATGATCACCAGTGGCAATAAATATAAAACTTTTTTGATATAATTGATTTTTTAAAATCCTTTGTTTTTGTTATACAAAATTGATGTCATGTTATATTAGGGTGTACCACATTATAATTAAAACAAAACTATATCTACAAATTCGCAAATCCATTAAATGCGAATTTTTTGATGGTTCACAAATTTGGTTTATGAACGCCCATTCTATTATAATAAATCTAAATTAATATGTATTTAATAATATAAAATTAGATGTACAGACTTATCAAACTATTATTTATAATTCGATCTTTTTATTTATAATAACACATCATAGGAACAAAATTATAGGAAAAATTTTTAAAAATCAAGATTTACGCAAATGAAGATAAATGTAAATGTTTTTATATAGTTTTATACGATAAAATACAAAAATTGATCTACATTTTGTAAAAATTTATCATTATAAATTTAGTGGCCAATCCGACATAATTTTGATTAATCATGATATGTTATACCATAATGTTATATGTTATATCTGATCTTGCAAATTAATTGATTAAATGGTTAATTTACACTGGTGATGATCACCAGTTGGGATAAATAGCAAAGTCCTTTTAAAAATAATGAATATTTTTATATTCCAACAGATTTTAACCTATATTTTTATGTACGGAACGCCTATTTCCACCATTGAAATTTGCTATTTCCACCATGCTTTTCATATGACTTTCAGTTACATAAACATGATGAACATATTGTTATGAAATGTTACGTCAAATGGTGGAAATGGTAAATTTTCATTGTGGAAATAGGAGTTACCTTAATGTATTACTATAAACTTAATAATAAAGTTGATTTGTAAAAAGCTCTAAATACTACTCAAAATAAACACCCATTCCTGGTTTTGCGCGACAATATCGCGTAGCTACTTGATCATAGTAAAGTCTATCGAAAATCATAAGCAAATATCAATGATGCAGATTTATATGGAACACAAGTGATAATGATAATGTTTGTGCCTCAAAGATATGCCTTATAAAGTTTTTTTTTTTTACTTCCAAAATATTAACAAATGTCCATCAATTTGGCTAGATAATTTCAGCAAAAATTTATATAAGCGGATCATCGGTATTTATTTTGGTTTTCACGTAACAAGATAATGTAAAACTATGTCTAGCTTGTTGGCCTACAGCGACAAGTCATCCATTTCACCAATACCTACACCCATTCACAAAATACCAGATGCTCTCAATATTGATGGCGTCGTGAATCCAGAAACATTGAATGCACATCTCAGTCTACTTATCAAATTTAAGGCTTTGGAACAGAATGTTCCTTCAATTGACATGTGCTACCTCCTACGTGCTCAGGAAAGGTATATTCTCTGGTTGCAGCTTTTGGAAAAATACAGCGCAAAATGTGAAAAGGATTTTATTCCCGTTCCCACTATCGGTAATAATTTATCAGAATATAAATAAGTTTAGCATTTTCGGTTCAACCTTACATAATTTTTTTCTAGATGTCTGTTATATCTGGCATGCACACTGTCTCTCCCTT